AGAAGGGAGCAGTCCTGCAATCATCTAGGCACTTTTGGGTCTATCAGATGGCTGATGGAAGCCCGCAACAAAACCTGCAGAATACTGCTACGTTGTAATAGCGATTTCTTGAACCTACAAATATTAGAGTGTACTGCAGTTATGACCACTGTTCGAGCGTCGCTGGCACTGTAGTGTGTCTCACACTAGCGATGCGACCAGGGTTTTATTACTGGAGCAGCGACATATAAACCATACGAAACAGCAGCTCTTGCGCGCTCAATTTTTCTAATGGGAATAATGTTTTCTAGAAACTCAAGTGCCATTTGTAAAGCATGCATTTTAATGCATTTGGATGGTGCCAGTTCAATTCAAGGAGCCTGTAGCATTAAGCCACATAATACTTCTCATAAATAATGCACTATTCCTGATGTTGCCCATGGTTTCAGCTGCCAGTGATTTCATTCACATCATACATGTTATGCATTGTGTGATGTACTGATCGATGCACACCGAAAGCTTCTCGGGCATGCTGGGGCATAGGCAGAAGTGTTTTTCCTGGGAGGGATGGGGGGGGGGGGGCAACTTTTTGATTTGAAGTGGGGGCCACGTGGGCGAATGGTGATATTGCATTCTGTATGCCATGGTGAAAAAAAAATTTCGGTTGGTGAGGAAGGCACGGGCTCGGTGTGCCACACACTGTCTACACCACCACATGGTGGCATGCCTTCTTCATTCTGATGCTACAATTCACCCTCAGATGGACAAGTTCCTTATGACCACTACAAATTTGCATAAATTGCTGGCTCAGCAACAAAAATTGGAGTTTCCATACAAGTTAGATGTGCAAAAACATTTTTAGGTGGTTGTATTCACATTTTACAATGGCAAGAAACTAATAAATAAGCTCGTATGTATTTATGTTTTATTCCAATAATCAACGGTATGCTCAGTAGCAGATATAGATATTGCACGTGACAATATTAATCCACTCTAAAGATTGCTTTCCAAGTATGAGATGCTGATGCAACAAAATCTAATCTGCATCGAAAATGTTACTTGCGAGAGGCAATTTAATGCACAAAAGCATTAATAGTGTAATCCGCAATACCTCTAGTAAAAAAATGTGAGCAGTACAACCAAGAAAGTGAAAGAATATATAGATGCGCAAACTACCTAGTACAACACACTTCACCAAATATCCATCACCATCCAATTTGCAGCAACTACCGGCGAAACTGAAACTCAGCCCTACTCAAAGCAAAACACTGCTCTAGAATCGGACAAAATCTTTCAGATATTTAAGAACTTGCAAATATTATCAATGCAGGGGTGTAATACTCATTGACACTGGTGTCTACTAGTGACAAGTGCTAACCTTCAATGTCACAAAAACGGGCAAATGTATGCACGAACCTGCAAAAAAAGCAGTTTGACAGCTGTAGCAACCCATTAACACAAGTTGTGGTGCAATGGCATGCTGTGGCATTTTGGGGAACTGAAAAAAACAACTAAACAAGCGAAAGCAAAGCTAGCGACATGAGGGAGGCAGCATGAGCAGGTCGTAAATGTATAGAGGAGGTCGTGGTTTTAACGTAGGCCTATACGTTCATTTAGAATACTTTGACATTTTGATTAGTCTAAATTCTTGTCAAAGTGAGTTTGAATATTCCAAGTGCTTGAATATTCATGTGTGTGTAATTTCTTATATGTAAAACAGTGTCAACTTCTAGCAAAACCTCTACCCTTTAATACTATAGTGATATAAACATATTTTGCTTATTGTGATGCCTTAAACCAAGCTTGTTGTTTCAAAATCATATATGAAGGGATGAAATTTTTTTATTTTCCTATTTTCACAATCTACATATAAGGCTGGCTCGAATCACTCCATCTCTTGGCTAGTGCCAGAAACTATAGCAAGTTTGTGAGGTAGCCTCTCCATGGCAGCCCTGTGCAATCCATACACCTCGCCTTTCCTGCATTGTTCACAGTACTCTATTAATGAATTGAGTGACTGAATTAATTAATGCAAAAATGATTGATTAGCTACAAATGATATAGATGGAAAAGTCCTCTAGTATTACTAACAGTGCTCTTTTTTAGAGAGTGACAGTGCCACAAATAAGCATTAGTCCTTACTTTTTGTTTATGCCAGATACATATTAAAGTGGATGCTAATGAGTAACAGTCTTTTTACTAAGGTAACACATATAGATGGTGCAAAATTGTTTCTCATTCCACCTGAATTTGCGCTTTTTTCAGCTTTTGAATGAGAGGGTCCACTAAGGGTGAAATGTATAAGCATAATAGAGGGTCTCTGCATGACATTCCTATGTAATCATCAAAGGACTTCAGTATCAAATTTATTGCCTCACGAGTCAACTGCAGCAAATATTTTTAGAATTCTTCTAGTGTGAGCAGAGTTAAAGAGATTGATCACTAATTCCAAGCAATTTCTCTCTCCTTTCATATCAGCGAGTGTGCTGAAAACTACACAAGGGAATGTCAAGTGGGCAAGAAGCTACATTTGTTTGTCAGTGAGCGTCATGACCTTGAGCACTTAATTTTTGAATGCATGGCTTACTTTCAGTACACGTGCCAATGTAATTTTATACTGTAATTCTAGCTCTATAGTGTGCAGTGCGGGCGCACCGCAGCATCCCATGGCGGCCGCGGTGGCTGTGCATCTCACAATGCTGAAATTAGCTAATGGCTGTGATATTTGTACTTATGGCATGGTCATTTAACTTTATGGTGTCAGTTGTTGAGAGAAGAGAGTTATTTCTAAATGGACTTTAAAATATAAGTGTCCATTCCCAGTCGTGTGCTATTCTGTTTGGCTCACATATTCACAAGAGCCTCGATCGACTACTAATCGACAGAATTTTCTGACCATGGTCAAATGTTGCAGAGTCACTTAGAAAAAGTTTTCGAGTACAAGGGAGTATTAGTATTGACAGTGTGGAGGTGTGCAAAAGTGTTTGAGACATTGTGAAACAAAGAAAGTTATCTCTGCTGATGCAGCCGCTTTAAATGATCAGAAGGTTGGTTTTGTGGGAGCTAGGGAGTCACAGTCCCTGAATTAGCCAAGAGACTTGACTCTTGCTTCAGCAGCAGCGCAAAATATCATGGTTTGGTAATGCTTACACAAATTTTTTGTGGGTTGGTTCGAGGAGAAATAATGGACATTGCTGAATGAATTTTTGTGCAAAGCCAAATATTATAATCTTTGAGTAGGCATTATTATTCACTGAAATTGTTCCTATTGTAGCTGCACAGGCAAGTTATTCACATTTTCGCTGAAGCTGTATCCTATGGTACTGATAAGTAGTATTTTAAGTACTTTATTAAGTAATCACTTTATTGGGCCTTATGAAAGAGTTAGTCTTGTGCTCCATTATTGCATCTGACGATGGAATTAATCCGTGTGGTGTTCTACTGCAGGTTGCTGTACATTATCTGTACTGTAAATTCTGAAAACACTACTATGCCCGCTTCACTTGTTTGCATGCATGAGCATATGGGGACGTCACAGCTAACTGTGATCATTGAAAATTCGGCCAAATAGATGACTGACATGTGCTACTAATCAGAGATTAGTAGTTGTGCCCTCTTCACCATGTGTTTGGTCACTAGAGATGCAGTGGAATATTGTATATGTAAACTTTGGACACTCATCACATTAAAGACATGTGCTTAAAAGGTGCAATGCTTGCTTTGAGGTGGCAGTATTCATTCACTGCAGACTGCCGCAACATGCAATATATCCTTTCGAAAAACAAAGGCAGACTGTGTGGTTAAGGTGCTGGACATCATAGGAGCTCAAATAGTATGAAAGTAAAGTGCTGGATGAGCTGGTCTTGTCATGCATATTTTTTTGCAGGTATAGTATGGGCTTGATAAATTTAGCTTGTTTGTATTGCATTCAAATGGTTAAGATGTGTTCAAAGTGTAAAAACGACTTTAACATGAATTTTTGAGTGAATTTCTTGAGATTAAGTAGTGGTATACACTTTGAGATGGCTCACTGGAGCAACCAGACATTACAAAGCATTGTCAAAATAATTTCTAACTTCAAGAGTCTGATGGTTGAAGAAAGTTACTTTATCACATCTACCCTATTCTGAAGAAGGTGAATTGATCGAGGAGTTTGTTTCTTGGTTAGACGCAATCTGCTGAAGCAAGCAGATTACAATGTCAAAGAAGACATAGAAAATATTTGTGGTTACTTTATTGTAGTATAGTAGTTACAACATAAATGGAAGTGAAATGAAGTGGACAAAAAAAAACAGCTTGTCGCTAGTGAACACCAAAATCAACACCTTCGAATATGTGAAGGTTCTGGGTTATGAAATATCACAATATTCTTCAGAAAAGTTTAATTTAGCTTCAATTTTAAAGAGCTATATACTGCAACGAATAAATTTGCTGGCAAGCATGCAAGTTCAGTCTCTACATTAGACATTCGTTATGATTATATTATATATGCATGTATTATATGTGCATATAATTATATGCATGAACATAAAAATGCCTTTTTATATTAGCAGACTGTTTAAAATCTTGGAAACTTATCAACTTCTTGTGCATGCTTGTCTGAGATTTTATTTTCATGAAATACTTAGTCTGCCTAGTTAGCAATATAGTAACACAACACATATATAATTTTTGGCTATGTTTATGATTGTTTATATAGTACACTGCAGCCTCCTCTTTTTACACATAAAAAAAAACAATGAATGTATATGCTATTGCATGTGCAATTCATGATTTTTTTTTACAAATTTCGGTGTGTATGCTCTGATTAAATGGTAGCGCTGAGATTGCATGATATGGTAAACCCTCCTGTGTACATTCCTAGTGTAGTAAATGTGTAATAAAGTTTAGGGTAACTGTGAATGTTATTTGTGCAGAGATAAGCAAAACTTGAATTCATGCTACCTTGTCATCCTTGATGGTGAATATTCCTAGTACTGCAAGCTTTTCACTCTAGCATATGACATTGAAAAACCAGGCAGTAACTGACAAGTCATCCTTTATTACATTAAATTAGGTTACACTTGTCAACAAGCAATATCTCCCTTTTCTGCTTAAATGTGGCATAATGAACAGCATGCTTTGTGTCACCAATTAAACCTCCCTTTTTTCACATCTATACTGACACAGGACAGTGGTCTAGTACCAAAAGCAGTACCAATTCAGTGTTGTCGTCGCTACTAATTTGAATGTACAAGGGTAACAGAAAGTAGGTCACTGACAAATTTACATACTGGACAACAGTGTCATGGGCAGTTGCCCAAAAACATTATATTTACATAGTCAGATGTTACATATTTATTATGACAAGATTTCTTGACTGCACATAACGAGGCAGTTTGTCCTTAAAGTTGTGGACAATCCATTACAGAAGGTTACACACTCAAAAACAATGCAGATGACCAACTCTTGAAGCACAGAGGTAAAAATGGAATAAGGGTTTGCATTTTCAAGGCTTTTATTGTAAGATACTTTGCACAATAGTTGTCTTTAAGAATGCATGTGGGCTATTAAACTTTTCGATGTGCAATGTACACATCTACACTGAATGTTGATCACAGAACCACCAATTAAACATTATAGTTTTGGAGAGAAGCCAACATCGGTGAGTTGTTGGGAAGCTGGCACGCGGATGTCGAGTGTGGTCAATACATGGTCAGACTCTGGAACATCACAAACATTGGGTCAGTGATTAGAGGAAACACTTTAGTGAAACCTTGTGGAGTGCAGTAGTTTGTTTTGCTTCTTTGTTCGTGAGCCAGAGTTGCATCACTATATATATTAACAAATGCAGCTCTTAGAGGAGCTCTTGATGTGTTTATGCTGCTTATGAAGAACAAAAAGGGAAATCAAGAAAAGTGATGCCATAAAGAATCATTTTGCAGCTGACACCCTCAACCACTGCACAGGTTCAACAAGGGAAAAAAAATGAAACTAATGTTTCTAGCCATCCAGTATTATAGGGGAAGGTGCTGACCAGATGTGTCAGGAGTGCAAATATGTACCATCTGTCTCCGGCTGTGTAAAGGTTTCAAAGACTTAAACTGGAGCACCAGTACTTTGCAAGGTTCTCACATGTTGTGTGATGGCTGATAAATGCAACCAAAACTGTTGTACAACTACAAAGAAGCTCTGTTGACAGTTGTCTTGCCCTGCAGTTCTCATCCTCAAGCATTGTTTAGGTCTATGTTCATGGGTCGTTCAAGAATAGCTTCACGTGGTATGTAAAAGTCTATTGAGGGCTGTGGAGAGGTGAACTCTTCCATAAAAAAAGGAAGTATGATAAATTCAGCTAATGTTAGTTTTTTTTTTACTTTAATGTTGCATTAATTTTACAGTACATGTAGTGGACAAAAATTGGCACATTTCCACTACACTGGGTGGTCTATGTGAAATAATGTTACTGAACGGAACTTTGAAAGTTCGACATTGTGGTGCTCCTGATCAGTTGGACATGGCTACAATGTAATTGGCTGCACAAATGGTTTATTGGGGGCCACCAAGGCCTAGCGTTAAACGTTTGGCAGTTTATTTTCTTCATGGTAGTCAAGGTACGAGCAGTATAAACTTATACAGTAGTAGTTTCATTCAAGATACACTAATTTATGCCATATTTGTGGAAAAGCAGTGTTTCTTGCAGTGGTAGATATAAGTATAGTAGCATGCAAAAAATGGCCAATTTCGGCAGAAATCTGGAAGGTGGGAGAATTTTTAATGAAAGGGATAATTTTTACCCAGTCCTAACACAATACAAACTTTTGGTAAGTCACAAAATACTATATTTCATATATTCTAGGCTTTGTACTCTTGCTTTTTAGTTTCTTTTGTCAGTCTGATGAGAATGTGCATTGGGTACATATTAGTCAGTACGTACATATTGATTGATATGTGGGGTTTAACGTCCCAAAACCACCATATGATTATGAGAGACGCTGTAGTGGAGGGCTCCGGGAATTTCGACCACCTGGGGTTCTTTAACGTGCGACAGTACGCACATAAGCTGCTACAGTAACTTTATTAGGGCCAGTATTAACTGCATGTACTTTTCCTCATAAAGCTCTCTGGCTTTTTTAGTTTTAATATACAGACATGTATTTTTATGTGGCAATTTATATTCAAATTATAATGAAGTGGCAATTAACTTTTATGGAACCCAATAATGCTCGGTATGTTAATTAGTACATAAAGGAATTTACTGGCTAACTATGACACCACAATACAAAGTGGTCACTATTGATAGCATAATTAAAACCCAAGTATTAACTTATTTTTGTAGCTTGGGCTGATGAGTGAAGAGCAGCATTCAGATTACTTTGTTAAATCTAGCAGAAACCTTGTTTTGAGTTATTGCTGCTACTTGCTTTTGCTTGCTGGTAAATGGAAAGATGATGAATAATCTTCACACTTCTATGCCATCTCCTTATGGAAAAATTTGCTCTCATCACTACAAAGTAAAGTTTCTTTAATTTCATTCAAAAACTCATTGAAAGAACATTTGTTTAAATATTTGATGTGTATTTGTTATTTTTACCAGATTTGTGTTGCTTTATAGTGTACTTATTATTATTAATTTTTGGTTCCATGCCTGTTTGTTTTTCATTCTGCTTTGTGTATTGCTTGTTTGCCTTTTACAGTTAAACAGCTGCTAATTCTTGTTTTATTTATTTGTAATATCACCGAGGGTCCTGTTACAGTACTTTGGGACCCTCCTATGTATATTTTATGCTCTGTAACATCCATGTCATAATAACAAAAACTGATTAATCGATTGCATATTTTTATATTTTGCATGCGAGAGAACTTGCACATAGTGAAAAGAAGTATCATTCGATTGAATCCTTGCTGTGTTCTTAAGCATATGCTTCTGGCTTTGTCTAATCTTTAGCTCTAGTCAAGTGTCACAGGTGTATTGATCAAATTAATTTGGCCTGATGAAAATCCTAGTGTTATATTTAACTAGACCATTGTTGTCAATAAGTAAATAGGTTAATGATTTTTCTGATGTGAAATTACTTGGCTAGTAGTGGTTGATAACATCACAGATTAATCGTTTTCTATTGAAGTTATCGCTAAGGGCCTAATAGCAACGCGATGTGGCAGTATTTTGTGAATCTAACTCATTTATCTAAAATTCTTTGTAGTCGCATGCTGCTATGAGATGGATGACATTTCCCCTTCATATAAAAGTGCTGATGTTTTTTTTTTCCTCAACTGAAATAGACTTTATATTTTCAGTACATTTCGTCGACTAGAGAAACAATTTTTCAAGATTACAACAGGCCATCAATAATGTCTGTAGACTTGTTTTCTTTATTAAAGTGCAGCTGAGAAAAAATAGCCACCTTTTTCATAGTTCTGCCAATATATTGCATTTATTCGACATTGTGAACATTGTGTTACAGTAGTATTTTTGTTAAGATGATGTGACTCATCTTAAACGTTGGTATGGCTTTTATCATGAAAAGCTTATCTTCAAACAACTGATTTCCACATCGTTCCACATATGACACTTCTTTGAGCCTTTGTTTCATTCATCTGCCATGATTTTCTAGTGGTTATAGTGCTAGACGGCTGACCCGCAGGTCGCAGCCTCGGCCACATTTCCCATGGAGGCACAAATGCTTGAGGCCTGTGTAGCACTTAGGTTTAAGTGCACATTGAAGACCTCCAGGTGGTCAAAATTTTTGGAGCCCTCCACTATGGAGTTCTTTATAATCATGTCATGGTTTTGAGATGTTAAACCCCACAAATATTATTTTTGTTAATTATTATTTATAAATAAATTTGATTTCAATGACTTGATACTCTACACAACAGTGATGCTAAAACAATTATTTCGAGAGCATTTTTGAAATCAAATGCGCATGGCCTGTGTTTTTTTTCTCTTTCTTTTTCTTTAGGGTTTAGCAAAGCGGTACTTGCAAACAATTTCAGCATTAATATGGCATTGCCGACAAATTTTTATATTGAAGTATTCTAGGCTGTCTGTGTTCTTCCTTTTATAACTTTCCTGTTAAGAAAAAAGAAAAGAAGTGTAGTGGTTGATACTGGCTTAATGCAAGAGGATAGGAGTGAAAGACTTCACATGTATGCTGTTTGGCCCTTGTGTGTTCTTTCACATTTTTGTTTCGTTTTGAATTCTATCTACCATCTGGTTCAGATTACCACTTTTAACATGATATGTACGTACGTACCATGCACTTCCAGTGTAGATTAGCACAAAGGGGGTTTTTGTACTATATGGCAATGGGGGTATAGCACATATGATACTGAGCCACTACAGACACCAGAAAGCTTTTTAGCAGTACAACAGCAGCTGGATTATCATGCAGGAAACATGTTAGAATATTTCAGTTTTTGTTTCCTCTGGTCCAGTATGTGCTGAGCGTGAAGCTTTGTGCGAAGGAATAGACATTGTGCCTGGTCCATAGGTTGTTACACTGTTGGCCAGAAAATACAAGCACTTTTATGCTTGCAGTTAATGGACAGATATATGTGAAAGACAAAAAAAGTATAAATAATGTTTGTTCTGTAATACTATAAGGGTGACTAGACCATAGCTTAGTGTAAGATTGGTTTTATACACTTTAGTCGTGTAGAGAACTAGTTCACAATAGCAGTTTATGGAAAAGTAACAGAATACCAGCTATGTTTGCAAGCTCCACTGTCACAATTTGATGGCATGACTTCAAACACTTGTCATCAAGTGAAAGCCTTAACATGTATGCTTCTGTTTGTTTTTTTCACATCACTTCTGTTTTGTTCCTCATATTTAGGCATCTTAAGTAAGAATCTCTAAAGCGTATATCAAATAAATAACAGTGTGTCAGATTTGTTTTACCATTAGAACATTACTACATGTTATCACATGAGCTTAAGCTGGGATGCCTAATTTAGTCATGCCAGATCCTTAAAATTCACAGGTTATACTTTACACAGTGATACAGTTGAACCCCTTTATAACAGGCCTGCTTCGAGCAGCAATTCTTGTCTCTTATAGGAGATGTCTCTTATAAGCAGGGTACCACATATGCATTTTTTGTTAAGTCGTATTCTATTGTAGGCACACTGGTGTCTCTAACACCCATCTGTCTCTTATATCACTGTCTCTTATAAAGGGGTTTGACTGTATATCAGAAACAGTGGTCACTGATGCACTCAGTTTTTGAGTGCAACATTGCAGGTATTGTGGAGCAGTTTTGAAGGGAAAAAAAATTGTTGTCAGGTTAATGCGGAGAATGGGGTGTTTGAGGGTGTAAGTGCAGCAGGGCACTGCTCTCTGACATTAAATGCAACTTCATAAATCGAAAACAGGTGCAAGTCACCCAGTAACACATAGTCCCTTGCCCCTGGAGGCTGTCTCTAGTTTCTGTACACACACACCATGAGAAACATGCAAACATACAGCTTGGCACGCTGGCAGCTTGCAAAGTTTTCGAACAATAGGGGCACTGTCACTCAAGAAAACTTGTACACCGAGCAGCATTGCAGCCTTGTACACAACCATTACATGAATATCAAGTGCATCTCATGCATTCAGGATGTCCATACATACTGGTAAAATGTGCTGTGCATATATACATCTCAAGGGATTTACATTTTAAAGCAGTACATTGTAAGTTGCTCGAGGCTGTTCAAAGTTTCAGTGAGCCAGTACTTTTGAAACCTGGTCATCTGCAAGAATGTTTCTTCAGCAGCAAAATATATTTTAGATACTCACTGCAGTGCTTCTCTATCTTTGGTTCCATTGCTACAATCTTATAGTGTGGGGAAGAGCTAGATATTTGCCACTTTCAGCTAAAAGGCAGCATCACATGGCAAGCAAAAATGTCAAGGTGTAGCCGCTGTTTTAAGCAGAGATGGCAATTACAGCACTGAAGTTATTATTGATATGATAGTCAGCCTCAAGCAAAGCAAGCCTATGCTCAAGCATTTGTTGGAGGTGTTAATTGGGAAGAACGTGGAGAAAAATAAAATGAGAAATGATGGCATTCTCAAAAAACACTGATGGTTCGTTGCTATGGACATCCCCAGCCTACGAAAATATCTTTTTGCAGTAAGACGGGTATCAATGTGCAATGTGGCACTGGATATTAGACCACCTTAAGTAAGGATAGTGCACTTTTTGTTGCTTTGGAATAACGGTGTCAACATGAAATGTAAATATAGCTTTTTTGGTGTATATAATATATGCTTTCATATGTGTATATATAAATCCTTACCATCTATGAATGTAACATAACTTATATAAATCGTTAATACACTAGACATTTTCGTTGTTACATGGCATTGACATAGCTGCAACAGAAAGTAATTGAGGCTTCACAAAAATCTTAGAATTACTGCAAAACAATAAGACAGTAAAATTACTGCATTGATAATGATATCACTACTTGAAGTAGATAATACAAGTTCTGCATTACATGGGCATCATAATTTAATATCTTGGTTTTGACATTGTTATTCCTTATTTATTTTTTTTTTGCAAAAATACCTGTTTCATGCTCTGCATATAGTTCTGCAGGATAAAATAGTTAGTATATGGCTGCATCTTTTATACAAAACTACATCCCTATCTGAAGGCGCTGCTGTCTTGGGGTTAGCTGCGTGCAGTGAAGAACTACATTGAGTCATAGCAAATAATATGTTTCTGCATTTATTAGCATGCTAAGGGCAAGCATAAACTGTAAGGTCATGCTTTATTTTAGGGTGTCAAAGAAACATTTTACCTCACAGTGTTATATACATGCTACAGCAAGCTTTTTTTAGGCAAGGAGTGAAACCGTATTGCACTTAAAATAGAGGAAAACGTTGACAATGAGGTTCTTTACATTATACTGTCTTATCTGTCTTCTCTGTCAAGCATATTACCCAATGAACATCTTTATCACATGATGCTACAGCAACACCTTGCTGTAAATAACTTGCACAACTATCGCTATATGCAACAAGCCACTGTAACAAGATCATTGCAACTGTATCTTCACCCGTGTAGAATAATGCATTGATGCTGCTAAAATGTATATATGAATTGCTTGCTGTAGAACTTCAGTGCAGAAATGTTTTGTCTTAGCAATTCATTCACATCACACAAATAAACAACAGCTTGTTTGAAAAAGTCAAGCCTTAAATACAGAATGGGTTGTAAATTTGCCTTCACTTTATATTGATCTGAATAAAAGTTCTGTTTTAAAAACTGTTTAGTGAAAAGCAGTACACAATTATGTGTCAAAGACTGCAGAAGACCCCAAGGGAAGAGAAGCTTAGATTTCGTTAGCAGGATGAAACCTTACATGTACATTTCCTCGCATACTTTCACCACACCTGATGCAATCGAAAAACTGGAATGAAAGTCAAGCAAGGACAAATCACAGCATTAAAAAAAAAGAAAAAAAGAGCAAGGGTGTCTCGAAAGATTCTTGTAACTTACATTCACAATATGTATACATATAACCTGTATAGGTCATAGCTAAAAAACTGTTTTAAATGATCACAGCATACAGGATGAACATGATTAGGTATAGATAGCAAAATGTGCATCTTAGATGCAAAAACAAAAGTAGCCAACAGTAAGCTTATATTGTCATCCTTTCCTGGAGCATGCATATTTAGTTTGACTTTAGTTGAAAAGCCTCACCAAGTTTTGTGCCCATGTTGAATACTAGCTACTGTATAATGCTAGTGCGAACAGAACAATGTGAGCTAGAATGAGGGCAGACTGAAGGAATGACTTCAAGTGCCTGGGTGTGTTGTGTGGAGGTATGTGTGTGTACCTGCATGTGTGTGCATCTGCACAAGACAAGATGCCTCGAGAAAGCTAGCCACACTTTCAACTTAATTGCACTGACAAAACTAGGAGCAATATATTTAGTTTGAGAAAATAAAAAACAAGAAGAATAAATGATTTTTCCTTGGTGGAGTAGTTACACTAAGGTAATGTTTATATATGTAGATCATGATGGCGTATATAGTACTTGTTCACAATGTAGAGTAGCTGCAAGGGCATCTTGCTGTGCAAATGTTGACAGGTGCACAAACATCAGAGTGAACATTAGAATTGGCCCTGCTTGTAAAAAGCATTCAAATACCATCACACAATTTAATGCCTTAGCATTAATTTGTGTGTTAGCTGAGACTCTAGTCTAGTGGCGTAAACTCAAGTGCTCTAGAGCTTGTAGGTTGCGGCTCAGTAGAATCTTTGACTTGAGAGGCTTTGGATTCTGAAGGTGCGGACAGCTGCGGCTTCAGCAAGCCTGACTCCACCGGCAGGGTCTCGACCCTATGAGACTCCAGTGCTTCATTTGCTTGGCTTGCTCGTTTTCTTCTCGCCTCTGCGTCTAGAGTTTAAAGGGAAAAGAAACTTCTGTAAATGCCAAAGGTAGCATTGGTATTTCAAGGGACATCAGGAATCAGACATAATTCTCATGTTGTTTTGTTACTCTATCCTACAGCTCAGTTTAGCGAACTGCAGGATGTGCTCATAAGGTGAAGTTTGGAAGCATGCCAAACTTTAATATTGCATGAATTTCTTGCACTGAGCTTATCTCTTTATGTCTGTACAGTTACACTCATCCCATGTGGATGTAAGTTTCGAGCAATGTCCATGCCCGATTTTTATTCTCTGCCAATGCTATTCTCATGCAAGCACACAGTTATTCATATAAGTGATGCTTCAATATTGTGTCACCAATATGTCTCATATTTATACATGAGCAATTGTTTTTTACATTTGATTAGGAAGAGGTATATCCTAGTTTTTTGTAGAAACCGATTGGAAATCTCTTTTTTGAAGCTTTATTGAATCAATAGACAAGTACAACCACATGTCCCAACTAGAATGTGACCTATATAAGGAAAAAACTCTATATATCCTATTCTAACAGTCATATTTTATATGTGTTGTGAACTTCTTTATTGTAAAGATGACAACATTGCAGTCAATGAGTATTGTGCGGCAATCTTCATATCCCTGAACACATACCTGGCTGATTCCACGAGAGATCAACATGGATTCAAAAGTTGATATTTTTTATTTGATTATTTATTTCATATTTTGTGCATATACCATCTAGTAGCCTGAAAGTGAATATTAGGAGCAAGCTGCATTACTTTATTTGCATCAGCAATATTATGGGTAGAAGTTCCAGGTCTTAAAGAATGCACTTAAGTGATAAACACATAGCAAATAGGGCGAAAAAAAGTGGGCCTGAGCTTCCGAGTAATTTGAACGGAACCATACTTACAGAGGAAAAGCAGATTTGGTAAACGGGAATGACCGTTTTAAGCACGCCCTTCTGAAAAAAAATGCCAGGCCTGCACGAAAGGCGCAGCCCAGCTACAGCGAAAGCTAGAAGAGCGGCCTTTCAGAGCCTTTTCAAAATACTCATTGGGTAGCTACTGCAATTCTAAAAGTTAATTTGAGCGCGAACACATGACACAATCACTCACACACACACACACCCAGGCATAAAACATGCACAGCGCTCACTTTTAACTGATTTATTCATAGCTCGAAGGCTTGAATATATACTTGACACATGTGCACACTAACACCATATAAGGCCAACAGCATACATTATCAATCCATGCAGTTAATCAATGTCATTGCCTTAAAGCAATAAACTGGAATTCGCTTGGTAATAATCATAGTGAAGGGGCGCTTGCACAGTGATTTTTATTTGTTCAATGAAAAAGGCCTCTGTGTAAGTGCCCCAGTTTACAGGCCCTTTAATGCTTAGCAAAGCGCACCAGAAATGCACTTTTACAGAAATTTATTTTTCAAAGTGCTAAATATGCTTTTCTTCTGTAAGTATGATCCCGTTCAAACGACTCAGAAGCTTAGGCCCACTTCTTTAAGCCAGATTTCTCCTGTGTTAATTGCCTGAGCACATCGTTGTTAACTTTCAAGAATGAGAAGGGATGAAATTGGTATTTCTGCATGAAATAGGTTTGATATTTTTTCCTTCTCAATTATGCAATCAATAAATAAATGAAGTTCACTTTCGGGCTACGGGGAGGTATGTGCACAAAATGTAAAATAAACAATCAAATCTAAAATATCAACTTTCGAACCCATGTCGATCATGGAATTACCTTTATGTGGCTTCTCAATCAAGACCGTAGTACTAACATCAGCAGGAGCCGCGGTACAATTGCAAGTACTAAACACCTTAATTTTTAACTGCTAAGACATGTGGTGCTCATTTGATCTGTTCTAATTATGATAATGGCAATCCACAAATTCACATCTTGGCACTGGTTGCACCATGTCAGCTCGTTGTTTTTACTGCGTTTTGTTAATGCCAGAAAATTGTAGTTTTCGATCACTTTCTTTAACATGTGCATTTGCAGTAAAATATGATATTTATTTATTCCACAAAGGAAATTTTTATACATAAATGTAGGAAGCATTTGCTTCACTGTCAATGTCTTGCTATTCCTTGATTTGCTGTATTTTTTCAACTATAGTCTATGAACTTGTATGCTTGATTGTCACTATTGCAGGTGATGTGGAATAGCTATGGGTACAAATTTATAGATAATTTGCTTGAAAGAGGTATGCCTGAAAAAAAAAAAAAAGGCAGACCACTTCCTTCACTTTTTTTTCACCCCAATAAATATTGAAATACAATGTTTACGTGCATAATTTGCACCCTCGCATAATTTGTGCATGCCTATTATTTTGCCAGCTTTTCGAGAAAAAAGTATTTACTCGCACATTTCGCGCTCCCCGACCCGCCCGAGCCAGCTCGCCGGCGCGCGCACCTTTGTACCTTTCGATGCTTCGGAAGGGTGCACCCCTCGATGAAGCACTATGCACTGTGGGTGCATGTCAAACAGGCTGTGAGTGCAAACTCTTTTTCTCCGAGGACTTCGCCCAAACTAGAGTTCCTACAATACCGCACCCGTACACAAATCTGCATGCTGAAGGGCCGCCGGCACTGCTCGAGCTTTTGCCTCCCCCTACCTCCAAATCTCTATCACCGTGACAATGGCGAGAACGCACGCTCGCGTCACGGCACGAACGACCAATTCATTCTCAATCGGACTTGACGATCAGTGATTCCCACTAGCCCACGCGTGACCGGATCTGACTGGTTAAAGTACATGCCAATTCTTTCAAAATTAACAAGTACACCTCGTTTGTGGGCCAAACTATTGCATCTTTTTTTAAATGTATATACTGCGTGCATTAAGACTGTGACACAATATTTCATATGCACTCGCGAAATCTCTGCGTAATTTGCGCACCCCCTTCTCAGGGCCCAAAAATCGCGAAAAAAAGTGCACAAATTATGCAAGTAAATATGGTAAGTTATGTAATAATGGCTGCTATACAGGAACAATATTTTCAGCAGATACAGTCAGATTAACACAAAGAAGATAACTGTGCTACACACTTATAAACCAGGCACACACACAGGTGCAGACTTGCAGCTAATCTTTATTTCGCAGTCATATCTCTGTGTTATGCAAACACACTCATCTCATCTCATCTCTGTGTTATGCAAACACACTAATGACTCAATTACACATTCACTTTCCTTTTTCCTAATGTACTAGTACGCTTTGCAAATTTCCCTTGTTCTATTGTCGAGGTAGCGGTACAATATCTTAACATCTTCCAGTTTGAGTTTACACTTGCATGAGTTAACAAGGAACATGGCAAAACGAAGCAAGTAGAATTTTGCAGAAATGTTTGGTTCCAACCTGTTTGAGGTGAAAGATTTTCTAGATGCTATTAGGGTGTTGCAGTCGAGTAACGTATATATTGGCAGCACCTTTTCAATTGACATAGAAGATTTGTTTTATTCTATTCAGGCTGTTCATAGCTGTATCGAATCCAATAGCAAGGTAGCATTCCAGAACACAGCTGGTGTGAATAGACAAGTTTTTAGTGTTGGAGTTTTCTTTTAACTTGACTTTTATATAGTATGAAGACAGTTACTATGTATAGAAGCAGGGCATCTGCACTAGGTCCTGCATTTTTCTTTTGTTATGCAATATTTTTTTATCAGGTTTTGACAGAGTGGTCAACAGAGGGCTTGACCATGACCACGTTTTGTGTATGTATCGATATGTTGACGATTTTCTTGTCTTTTTAAAAAAGTGCAACACATTCAATCATGATGATGCCATTGCGGATGTACTCCACCTTTTTTCAGCACCATGGCAAAGGGTTATCATGAACTCATGAGCTAACAACAGATGACCAAATTCAATTTTTAGCTGTAACCTTCTTTGACGACCATGTTTGCTGAAAATATAATTCGACGTCCCAAAAGAGGTTGTTGCCCTATAATTCCAGTCATTCAAAAACAGCGAAGCAGGCCGTAGCGTCTCACTGTGTCATGTCAGCATTGAATAAGTCTTGCGTACACTCCGTGCAGCATAGCTTTGCAGCACACATGGTTAGATTGAAAGAGGCTAGTTTCTCGCAGTATATGCTAACTGCAGTAGTGGAGGCGATGTTGAAGAAAGTCAAGGCAAAAAACTCAAACGTTCCTTCTCAAAAGAAGGTATATAAGAGATCTGTAGTTGCACCCTATCTGCACGAAACGTCACACCACCTAAAGAAGGTTGGAAAGCAACATGGTGTTGAAGTCATGTTTTCGGCTCCTGCAAAGCTTGCAGGGCTGTGTGCGTGCATATGGGACTGCCAAAACAGGGCACAAGGATGAAGAAAAAGGCATGCGAATTCACATACGCAGTGCAATGGTGGCATCCATGGCCTATCAAAAATTTCTTTGTCATGTGGAAATAGTTATGTTCTTGCATAACACAAAGATGAGATTTATCTATGAGCATTGTTAAAGTGACGTCTTATGGTTGTTACGATTTTTGTGATGATACCTTACTGAAAAGCACATGCGTGGTGATCGTTTCTATGAAACGTACTTATAGATGTACTGTGTGAAATAAGGTTAGTTGTAAGTCTGTGCCTGTGTGTGTGTCAGGCTTATATACATGTGTAGCGCATTTATTCCCTTTGGGTGAATACACACTGACTCTTCCAGCAACAAGCTTTTCTAAAATACTGGCAGTTCAGCTGGTACTACTGCTTTTGGCATTTGTAGTTTGGCTTGCATTTCTCAACCTACAGGTTTTGTTCTAGCAATCATACTGCGAAAACTTTCACACATGGGTTTTAGATATTACTTTCATGAAGAATAGGGTGATTGCACAGAACACAGTTTTCATCTTAAACAGAATGTTTGAAAGTGGTATCTTTCCAGATCATTCAGAAATAGCCACAATATACCCAATTTACCAAGAAGGTGATAATCCAATGTTTAATGTCCAATAATCAGCCAGTGTTTGTAATATGACCTGTGAGATGTGATATGGTTAAAATGCTAAACACAGATAATGAACTTTCTAAAGCAGCTTGTATAATAAAATAAAATAAATATGCGGTGGCATTTGTAGATAGAAGAAAAACATTTGATTCTCTGTTTGCTGGAACAGTATGATATACGAGGTGTCGTACTCGAACTTTTATGACATAAAATACTGTTTCTTATAGTTAATATGAAAAAATTCAATAATAAATACTTCTAGCTGCATTATAACTTATATTAATATACCTGAACAAGATTTCTAGGTCTTCTTAAATATGTTACATGCAGCGAAATACTAACACAGCAGAGCTTCAATTGAAATTTAAGAATTATTTGATGCAACTTTTCTGCTGATTGCAGCGTAATAAAATCAAGCTACAAAAAAATTTCACCAGAGCAAAATTTATGATATTCGCTCCTAGAATATAAACAAAGACATTTCAGTTCAACTAGTAGCACTTTATTTCAATGTATGATGCGAGAGTGGTGAAAAAGTTGGACATTTGGTGCGGTCTGGTTGCAAGATTTAGCACATTGACAACATTTAGATAGAACTGAGCATAATTGTTTCCTGCTAGTGGATTGCATTACTTTTTTGCACCATGGTAGAGAATTTCATTATGCTAAGCACTTTTCTCTCCTAGTTTAACCTGTTGTACACATATCTGATCAGGACACTACATTGCATACAAACTTTCATAGACTTGTAACATAACAAAAAAAGTCTTGTATGAATTTGAGGTATATTATGGACACATTCAAGATTTTAGAACCAAGTAAAATTTTTTGAAGTATCTCACATTAAAGGAAAACCAAGTTGGTTATTACAAGTGGCTGTATGTAGCACGAGAAACACAGCAGATTACAGTATGTCCAGGTTATAAGCTTTTATCCACATTCTAACTTCCAATAAATCTGTACATAAACACTCAAGGCTTATTCACAGCTGTTATTAACACTGGTCGTGTGACCATTTCTGACTGCGACCAAAAAGTGACTCAAGGCGACTGATGTTCATACCTGCATGTGACTTATGCCCTTTGCCATGCAGCAATCATGCCTGCTCGCATACAGCTCACATTGCCATTGCTTGTAAGATAAGCTGACGTCCCGTTCCTGCACATCTGATTGATTTAGAGGTGGCGTTTTATGACCAAAGCAGTCATTTGTGACCATTTGTGACCATTTGCTTTGCAACTAAGTTGGTCATGTGATTGATGCTAGTTGCAGGCGTAAACGACACTTAAAAGTAGGAGTGATGAAAAAAAAAGCAAGCCCGTTATTAGACATCTTTATTAGTAAACTATCTACATGATTACATTGAGAAAATTCTGCACAGTTGAGCAAATCATTTTAATGTTGTAATTAAATAACTTAAATGTGATACCTGACAAGATTGAATTCAAATGAAGCACACAATAAATTTTTCCTCATGTTTGCTTTATTTAAAGTTATACTTTGATACATAAAGTACTTTATGTGTCTGACTATACTTGTCAGACATTCGTATAAATCTTTTTAATGTAAAATTAAGCTTTGCATCGTGACACTCAATTTGATATGAGCACCTGTGTGATTTATGTGCTGCATGAGGCCCTGTGTATTGAATTGATCTAGAAGCAGATGCCATCATCAGGCCTTAGGATTTTTAGCTTCTGCTTTTATTCTGTATATAACAATAGAAACAAATGAAATAAAAGGTGTTCCTAATAAAGCACTATTTTAGAGGGCTTCTGAGAACATATTTCTCACTCCAGCATTAAACTTGTTTTCTCAGTTTTAACAAGTGAGGAAATATGGTTATCAGGTTATTTATGCTGATTTTTGGTTGCAGAAAGACATCCTGCTTGGTGTATCTGTGCATGTGTGTCTGCATGTTGTGAGAAGTGCACACATAAAGTTACCTTGTGCTGCCCTTTCTTGCCACATGCTGCGATTCTCTTCCAGGTATTTGAGCCAAGGCCTCTTGAGCTCTTTGGGGGCGACTTGTCCTTTCGGTGACCTCGGTGAAGAAGGTGCGCTTCCCATTTTACCACATTTTATGCCCTCATCAGTGCTGGTTGCTGTTAGACTTGAGAGACTTGTGATGCTTGTGGTGCTTGTAGTGCGTATTGGCCGTACCATGGAGAGTGAGCGTTGCTGCATTTTTTCCTCATTCTGTTTCTTCCCTTCTTCGTGTGGTTTGGCATCCTCCCCTTTATTGTAATTTTGCTGCTTAGAGTCATCTTTGGTTTTGTCATCCTGGGCCTTGGCATCATCTTCACTCAGTGCCTCTGCATGATAAAAAGATGTAGTTGCAATTGTTGATGTGTACAAGTGTTGTAAGCTGCTGGCAAACAATGAAGTAATTGTTCTCCACTAGGGGTTTCAAAGAGGAATATTTCTGTAGAACAGTACAGTTTAAATAAAGCAACCATTATTAAAACTTCCTGTTGGGCAATTACACGCAACATTTTTTTAGCGCCAAATTTAAAAGGAAAGAAATACCGGGGAGAGAAGAAGAACACAATGCACCAAGTGAGCACTAAACATCAGTCCACTTTATTTTGGAAAACAACCACAGAAACTAGACCACCTAAGCACATGCATGCCACTTTCACGTCGCTAATCAAGCATCAAATAAAGAAAGCTGCATTCTCTAATGAACAAATATATATAAATCTCACAAATACAATCCGTGCCCTTGTTCTTAATATGATACGCTTCCAGCAACTCTTATCCCAAGGTATCAACACTTCTACCCCAAGATCTTAATCTCGTGTAGCTGCGGTGCACATTTGCAAGCTGTGCATTGAAGCAGTAATTGCGTATTACCTTTATTTTTAAAGGACAACTCATGTTTCCTCACACGGTCATTAATAAATCTCCCAGTTTGACCTGGGTAGGTCTTCCCAAATGATAGTGGTATGGCATACGCGACAGTGATTGCACACATTACGTATGGGCTGACATGTTTCTTTTAGCATCTATACTTTTCTTTTTCTTGGCATATTCATGCAACAAGGCCACCCAACTTTCAAGTGGCGGAGAGCACGACTGATACAACATGTTTGTTGGCAGCCTCCTTAAGGTTGTGGGACAACCTGTGAATGTATGGTACCACTTCAGGTGCCTGCCTCAATCATGCATCACTGGTGCTTTGCAACTTTATGCCTCTCGTCTTCTTCAAATTTTTTAAGGAGATTGCACCAAGAACTGTGCACGGGCAGCCGGATGCTTGTAGCCTCTCTAATTTCATTTCAAAGCTGGCCTTCACTTCCCCAGAGCTGACTCCAGGCATTGTTCCACAATACTTAGTTTTACTAACTTGGAGTGGGCCATTTTATAAGGCAATAAATCCTTTTGTGTGCATTGGTTGTACTACTAGCAGACTAGATCTCTTGTATGACGTAATCTGAAATATAAAAACGGGATGGATCCATTCAACGGAAGTTCACGGGTAAAAGCTAAACTTGCCTATGTTGATGAACAGTGTTTAAAATGTGGTCAGTGCCCTGGTCTAACGTAAAATTGGCGTTAGTCTTTAAAACGACCAAATTAGATTTTTAGAACAATTAGGACATTTTAGCGGCATTGTCAGGTTCTGATAATTTACCCACGAATGGTTTCATAGTTATTGTACGGTGTCTGAGCTTCTTTATGGGCATGAGTAGCTATAGGGTTATCTGCCTTGAGGGCAGCACCCAGTGAAAATTCATAAGTGTATGCCTTATACAATATGGCATTTGTCCACAATCTATGTATTGAATCATATGTATGTTACATCACTTAATTTTGTGTTTCAGTGCTAGAAAGGCTTTTCCAGGAAATTGGAGCAAGAATACCTTTTGCCACAGGTTGCGACTACTTAGATAATCATTTTTTAAAAATACTATCACAATGACTGAGTCTCTTGATGCAATCTACTGTAGCTGAATGGTTGATACATAACAAAGCTTATGAATATCAGTTGTAGCTTTGTTATGTTGTTATGAGTTCAGCACCACAAAATCATGCTCTTTGTCTCGCTTTGAAAATCGCAAATTTCTTTCAGATGAATGTACATGAATGTATATGAACATACAAAGCACTGTATGTACTGTAATGTTTGTAGGCACTGCACAAATAGATTCTTTTCGGTACCAAACTTCCAAGAGCTTTCTTTTACAGAATACGCTATGCACTTGTTTTTATTTTGTATGAATAACAATGCTGAACATCAAAGAATTTCGAAAATCACATAAACATCTGACCACTTTCTAGCACTGAAGAAAGAGGGACATTGCTGCAATACTAATATTTTCTTTTTAAAATATTTATCTTTAGCAATTGTAAAAAATTCTGCAGTGCAGCATTAGTACAAATATCTGCAGAGCATACTGTAGCTATACTTTATACCTCGTACTCTTTCGTGCAGCCCACACAAAACAAATTACATATTAATTATTTACTCATTAATCATCGATCGATCAGCTTTGGTCAATCCAGCAGGCCTAGGAAGCTTTTAGTAGGCAAGACTTTGTAACCGACACCTAGACGAGAGCCCAGTCCACTAACATTCTGAATAGAAAATTAAGTTACTTTGATCTGTCCATTAATTGTCGACAAATTAATATTCGATTATTATCACCCAAAATGGCTTTAAGCTAATCAGAGTGATATTTTAACATGCCTTGCATCATTTTGTTGGAAAGCTAATTCCATCTTTGGGTGTCTATTTATAAGAAATATGACAGAGATATGACAGTAAAAAATGTCATTATGTAGACCCCAGGCTGTGATAGCAAGTCCTGTGAACATTTAAGAGATGGCTGTAAATTGAAAGTTAATTGAAAAGGTTCACATATTTAATGGCAGCTTCAGAATCAAGCAACCTGGAACCTTATATTTATGGCTTGTTCAGCCTGACATCATGACAGCATGACTAACAAAAAGAGAACGAGTATGGACCCATTTCATAATTCACAAGAGTGCTTTTCTGCACTGCATATTTCCCCAAGTAGGCGGCACGTGCCTTGCATCAAGTGAAGGCGCAGTCCTAGTTGAACGTGTTGAGCATGCCATGAGTGTTTATATCAAGAGAGTTGGCTGTACATTTTTCACATCATTGCGTAAGTAAACCATGCTTGAACAGGCTATTCGCAGTGACTAGCCACTATTAGTTGTTCAAGCTGCATAGTAGGAAAGCAAACTTTACAATTTTGAAAAGGGTCTTTTGAGGGGGGAAACAGCAAAAAACAAGACAAAGAAAGAACGACCACACAACACAAGCGCTGTCAAACAACTGCATGCAAGTTTATTGCACCCTATTAGTATCACATACCAACTTGATATGTGGGGTTTAACGTCCCAAAACCACGCTATGATTATGAGAGACGCCATAGTGAAGGGCTCCGGAAATTTTGACCACCTGGGGTTCTTTAACGTGCACCCAAATCTGAGGATACAGGTCTACGGCATTTCCGCCTCCATCAGAAATGCAGCCGCTGCAGCCGGGATTCGATCCCGCGACCTATGAGTCAGCAGCCGAGTACGTTAGCCACTAGACCACTGCGGCGGGGCATCATGTACCAACTCACCTTTCAAGATGCACTTCTGCAAAACTAGTGTGCTATTAAGCTGTTAATGAACACATTTTAAAGCAAGCATTGTTTGTCCTGTGATTTCTGGCATTTATTATAAAACAAATAAAAAGGCAGACTGAAAATATTTTCACCTGTTCCTTTGTTCTCGCTACCTTCTTCTGAAATGCTGTCTTCAGTAGTTCTTTGTGCAACCTGGAGTATTTTTTCCAAAAGGTCTCCACACACATCCATGGTTGGATTGAGAATGAAGTCAATAAAGCCTGAAATAGAAAGAAGTAAGAGTGTTCTAAGATACAACTGTATAAAGCACTGCTCAAATATATATATATATATATATATATATATATATATATGAAAAAATTTTTCGAATAGACCAAACGTACTTGAGAAGAGAAGAGACACAACTTAGCGGTTGTCTTAGTTTTATTTTCACAGTTTTGACCGGTCTTCGTCAGGGTTTGTGAATAAGTTTGTGAATATATGTATATATATATGGGATATGGCACAACGGGAACGTTGTCAACAAGGATAAATATATTTATTTCCCAACAGTTTCGGGAGGGGTCCTCCCTTTGTCAGGGGATGAGTTAACTATACACCACAGCTATGGCCACGGCCTCTTCTTACCTGCAACGCCTTTTTGTCCTGCAGGCTTTCGTGTCGCTCTGCAGCCCGCGGTCTGACGGCGCGCGCTTTGGTGCCTTTGGTGTCTTCCCGGAGGCGTCATGGTCCCCGGAATGGCTGAACGTTGACCGCTATTTGGACCCACCCCTTCGGCCTGTGCAACTATGACTGCCACAATCGCCATCTGCGCCCCCGCACGGGAAGTGCGTACCAATGCATCGACCGCCGCTACTGGACCAAGTGATTACAGGAATTGCTAATCTTCGGATAACATCCTCCTTGCCCCCGGACTACATAAACTCGAACTCGCCCAACGCAGCCTTCAATGGGCTTGGCAACACCACAGCTATGGCCACGGCTTCTTACCTGCAGCGCCTTTTTGTCCTGCAGGTAAATAATCGATACTCTCTGTATGCACGTTGTACTCGTTACGCGGCCCTCCTGGTGTTGCCAAGCCCACAGTGTTGTTTCAATGTCGTGCTTGATTGCGCGCATGTCATTAAGCAATTACTAGCTTTGTCAAGCGACATTGAATTAAACCCTGGTCCTACCACTCGCTCTAACGTACTCGACTCTAGCGAATCGCTACAGTCGAGTGACGTAATGACAGCACTTAAAAACATCCAATCTGGTCAAGCTTCCATGCTACAAGTATTTAAGGCAATCCAGCAGAAACTGTCTCAAAAGATGATTTGATCAGGGAGATGAACAATAGACTAACTAAAATAGAAAAAGACTGTGAATCAGTATTGGGCATAAAAACGCAACTGGACAATATCAGTAAGCTTTCAGACCAAAATGCACAAGATGTCACTGCAATCATGACCAAACTGGATGACTTTGAAGACCGAGCACGTCGATCGAACCTTGTTTTTGGTTTGAAAGATCACGAGCGTGAAACTTGGGCCGAATCGGAAGCCTCTGTGCTCCAATTTTGTAGCAAAGAATTAGAAATCAGTCTTGACGCAATGGATATAGAAAGGGCTCATCGCTTAGGTAAATATAATACTAACAAAAACCGACCAGTCATCATTAAATTTGCACACTTTACACTTTAAGGTTAGGGAGAACGTACTGTCGAGTGGGCTCAAGCTAAAAGGTTCGAACTATCGCATATCGGAGGACTATCCACCTAACACACTTAAAGCCAGAAAACTTCTCGGTGAGTTTGGAAGGGCACAGCAGGAACCTTACAAACTCTGTCATGATAAGCTTATCATTGGCAACAAAACTTTCATTTACGATCATAAGACTAACAAAGTCGTTCTGCGCCCGTTAAACACATAGGCCCCAGCCGTACTATTCCAACCAGGAAATCATTCTCCTTTCTTTATACTAACATTAGAAGCATTATTCCGAAAGTTGATGGCTTACAAAATCTAATTAGCTCTTCAGAGTCAGATTTGTTTGTAATAACCGACACTTGGCTTAACCCTTCAATAGCAGACTCAGAGCTGCTACAATATTTCCCGGACTTCAGCATTTTTCGACGTGACCGCACTAACAAACGTGGAGGTGGAGTGCTGATAGGCAGTCATAAAAGCCTTCAATGTACAGAAATTCGTGTGTCCTCATGCTTAGAAATCACATTCATTCTCTGCAATGCTTCTTATCCCCCCACGATAATTGGAGTTTGTTACCGCCCTCCCGGTCTTGACCCCCTTTTTGTACCGAATTTCCACGTGGCTATTCACTCTGTAACTAAAACTTTCCGTCATTATCTGATACTTCTCTTCGGTGATTTTAATTTTCCAGCAATTTCGTAGAATAATCTGGCAAGCACAGCCGCCAAACACGGTCCTGAAAGCGATTTCGTCAACTCATGCCTAACATTTGGACTAACGCAACTCGTCACTGAACCCACACATCAAAATTCTACCTCCTCCAACACTCTAGATCTTATCCTCACTTCCGAGCCTGACAAGGTTTCCAAGGTGACCTTCTTGCCTGGCTTAAGTGACCGTTCAGTGATTCATGGTACCAATCTCTGCCAACTAACACGCTCGTCTAAAATAACAAAAACGATAACATTGTATAACAAAGGAAACTATTCCGCCCTAAACAATGAATTTGCAGAATTCGCTACTTGCCTGCTAGCCGATTTTTCGCAGCGCTCTGTCGAGACTAATTGGTTGCTCTTCAAAAATAAAATCCATGACCTGTTCATAAAATACATGCCCACCATTACCTTCACCGAAAAAAAGACGTCCCCATAGTTCACAGCCATACTAAAACGACTCAATAATAAAAATAAAAGACTTTTTAGATCAGCAAAACGATCTAATAACATTTCTGCATGGAACAACTACTACGCTGCGGAAAAAGCATTCAGCACGCATGCTATGAAAGAAAAACGTTCTTTTTACTCACAGACTTTGCCGGCCATGCTGACCAATAACCCGAAGAAATTTTGGAGCGTTATCAACCCTCAAAATTCCCAACCACTGGCACTGTTTGATAATCATAACCTTCCGATCCCCGACGATGAAGCCGCCGAACAACTTAATCATTTTTTCTCTTCCATGTTCACTATCGAACCTAACGGCAACTTACCTTCATTCCATCCTCGTGATTACGACATGATGCCGGACATCACGTTTTCTCAACAGGGCATTGCTAAATTAATCGACTCATTAAAGCTTACATCTTCTTGTGGCGCCGATGGCATCAACGCTAAAATGTTAAAAAACACACAACCCATTGTCAGTGTGATATTATGCCATATTTTTCAACAATCACTGTCTTCAGGAGTGGTGCCGGAAGACTGGAAGGTGGGTAAGATTGTTCCAGTCCCTAAAAAGGGCCCTCTATCCCAGCCTAGCAGCTATCGTCCCATCTCGCTCACTAGCATTTGCTCTAAACTAATGGAACATGTGATCTACTCTAACACCGTCAAGTTCTTAAACCGCCACAACTTCTTTCATCATAGTCAACATGGGTTTCGCTCAGGATTATCCTGCGACACACAACTTGCTTCATTCTACAATGACATCAGTTCTAGCGTTGACCTAAATATACCCACCGATGCCCTCTTTTTAGACTTTGAAAAAGCATTTGACAAAGTTCCGCATCAACGGCTACTCCTCAAGCTTTCTTGCTTAAACATTAATACATCGACGTTCAACTGGATTCGTAGTTTTCTGACTAATCGGCAACAATTTGTGTACGCTAACAACCATTCATCTAACCATCTTCCCGTAATCTCTGGCGTCCCACAGGGCACAGTACTCGGACCCCTACTTTTCTTAATTTATATAAATGACCTCCCAGCTAACATTTCATCAAATATTCGCCTGTTTGCAGATGACTGCGTGGTGTACCGTCCAATAAAAAACCCTACCGATATTGCTATACTTCAAAACGACCTTAACCTTATTGAATCCTGTTGCAACGACTGGCTAATGTCTTTAAACGTAAATAAGACATCGCTAATATCATTTCACCGTAGGCAATATTATCAGCAAGCGACTTACACCATTTCGGACTCTACAATCTTAACAGCAGAATCCTATAAATATCTCGGTGTAACATTCTCAAGCAACCTCACCCGGTCCACTCACGTTAACAACATAGCATCCTCCGCTAATCGTGCGCTGGGTTTACTTCGTAGGAATTTAAAACTTGCTCCCTCATCAGTGAAGTTGTTAGCTTACACCACATTTGTTCACCCTAAATTGGAGTACGCATGCTCGGTTTGGGACCCTCATCAATCTAATCTATCTAACTTTCTCGAATCTGTACAAAATCGCGCAGCCCGGTTCATCTACTCTGTGTACTCTTATCATTCCAGCGTTTCCGAACTTAAAACTCGTGGCCACCTCAACAACCTAGAATCACGTCGTCATATATCTCGGCTCTGTCTTTTTCACAAATTTTATCACCCTCCTTTCAACGTTCCAGCCATCTTGCCTGCTCATCGATTATCTAGCCGTACAAACCATCCCCAAGCCGTTTACCCACCGCCAGCACAAACTACTGCCCACCTTCGCTCCTTTTTTGTTGCAACCGCCCGGGACTGGAACAGCTTGCCTGCCTTCGCCATGCACCACTCCGACCCACATGTATTCAAGACCGTGATTGAATCGTTAATATGTTGCTAATTAGGCCCATCCCTCATGTAATACCCCGACTGGGGCCTTTGAGGTATACTAAATAAATAAATAAATAAATATAACTCACCCCCTGACTAAGGAAGAACCCCTCCCAAAACTGTTGGAAAATAAATATATTTATCCTTGTTGACAACGCTCCCGTTGTGCCATATCCCATACCTTCATGAAGACTAACTGACCCATTCAATTATTACTCTCAGTGTATATATATATATATATATATATATATATATATATATATATATATATATATATATATATATATATATATATATATATATATATATATATATATATATATATATATATATATATATATATATATATATGCCTATGCATGCAAGAATGTTTCAGACGCCGAGTAAATTAATGATTGTAGGATGTTTGCTCGACTTAGCACGAGTATTACCAAAATAAACGGGATGAGCACATCCTTTGGTATTGTGGCATGCTTAACCGACATTCACAATGAGTTTCTGTATAAGCAGGTTGGGAAAAAGCGAGGAGATCTAGGAGTAAAGTAGCCACATTGAAAGGTCGGTGAGGTTTCCCTGAGATCAGAAAGTTTGAGAAACCCTGTTTTAATCAACAGCTGGCTATAAAATTAGAAAAAATGACACAGCGTGCAAGACAAGGGCTCATTGTAGAAAGTGACATTGGAATATTTGGTGCTGCATGCTTTAAAAGTGGAAAAGCCAGTGCAGCAAGGACTGTGTTGTTGCTTTTTTGTGAAACCTCATCATGCAGTGCTGGTTTTTTCACTCCTAAAATAAGGAAAATATGATTCAATATAATCATTTAGAAAGCTAGATACCTATCTGGGACTCCGCAATTAGTGTTGTGTTTCTGTCACACAGTGGCGAGTATGGAAGTCCAAGTTCATGTTCTTTGTCACCCTAGAATAAGAAAGAAAAAAGGTGTGAAAGGCACCAGAAAGAATGACAAGATCATATAATGCAGACATTATGATGACTTGGTTAAATTATTACCTGCGCACTCCACACCTGCTGCAGAGTGCGAGTTTGTCAGTATGATGCCCTCATGCCTTCTTCTTGCAATGGTGGACAGTATATCTTATGACTACGAATTTATTAATCCTGTCGTGTTACAAAATCCTGCGCTTATGTTGACTGTAGCTTCCCTTACCCTAGCTGCCCATTATTTTTATCCAAGCAGACCAGTAATTAACTGCTGCAGATATTACATGACCTCCTAAACACCAGCTGCTCCTAGAAACGCAATATTACCTACTCTTGCTTGTTCATATTTACTGCATCTTCTTTTTTCTCGTTTCTCTTCATCATGCAGTACATGGTCCTGCAATTCTCAAGTTTCTTCCTTATGTTATAACCTTCAGTTCCATTGGCTGGAAGTTGGATAAATTTAGCATATGCCGTAACTGTAGAAAGGCTTAATTATACGTTAACTAAAAATTGCAAATAATTTGTGAGAGCAACTAAATTGCATCTGAGAGCAAGGTGAAAGTTATTCGTTATTTTATTCTCATCAAAACAACTCAAATTCTACCAAAGCACTCATCTGGAATGTCAAATGTGTGTATTAGCAAGACGGGAGTGCTGTGATAATATATAAACACAATTTTGTTCAGGCAATTTAGAGGCCAAAAGTGTGACCCGAAGTGAGTGAGAAGCAAAAAACTTGTTATGGACTGTTATGCATCAGTTTACCAGGGCAGTGTTGCTCACCTGCATCAGTAGTCCTTGTGGATTTTTTTTGTGGCGAAGGCAAACGGCTGTTGAAAATTAATATTTTATAATGTGCTCTAGGGATTTTGTGCTTAATAACTGCCCTTTTTGTAATCGTTATGGATTATACAGATCGAATGTTACACAACTGTAATAAGTTGGAATTGTGTAATTTGCATGAATGGGCAGGAAAGCAATCATATGAGCATGTATGCAAGCTGCAAAGTGATGATATCTTTGAATTTAGCATCCAAAGTACACATAGTATATAGCAACGGTACAACGAGTACGGCAGCCTTCGTTCATCTTAGACATTATTGCTGAGGGAGAGCCTGGAAAGAGAGATCTTGCAAACTCTTAGATTCATTTTCCAAAAATAGCTGCACTGCCTGCTTTTGTGCTTGTAAGCAGCTAGCATATATCTGAGCAGTTGTGAACTCAAAATTCATTGAAGTAGCAGGGCAATGTATTCAAAGAAATAATTATGAAAGCCAGCACCACAGAAACTGTAGCTTACCTGTTGAAAGAATTCTTCCATAAGAAGATATGTCCACCTATGATGCAGCCTCCATTCTTTGCTTGGGTGACTGATGTCACAACAGTGAAGGATTAAGCTGAGCGCTTTGGCCTTGTCAAGGCTGTAGTAAAAGAAAGTTCCTGTTAATGTTTGTAACCATACTAGGCAAATATGACTAGGTATATTTATGATCTGAGTGCTAGAAAGTGTGGTATACACAGTTAGCTATTTAGTTGATCAGCTGAAATAATTTGCAATTATATTATTAGGAAAATTATTATTTTCAACAAATTACTTTATGACATATACCATGACAATTTTAGAATTGTAGCTGTGAAGTCTGCAAGGCATATAAACTTGGAACGAATTTTCAGGCTGAAACCAGTTTTGAGATAATTATTCACAAAGTGTTGAACGAAATACATTAGTGTTTCAGTTACTTTCACAATTAAATTTACCCAAATAGCATTTTGTTAAAAAACAAACAGTGCATTTTTGGTGCAACCATCATGGTGCATACCTGAAAGGAACCTTGCAACACGTTTATAATAATCATCAAATGAGCTCACCGTCTAAGTTTATTTCCTCACAAATGCACTGCAGCAAAAAATGTTTAAATCTGTCATGTATGAGTGGAGTTACAGGAATTCTTCACATGCTTTCACTGCTTTCTCCCATCATACGAGAGAGTACAGTGAAAGCTAGACTGAGAGAATGATAACAGAGAATGATAAAAATCAAGAAGCCCCCTATCATTTAATTTCATTGCCCTCTAGAAGCCCATTAATTGTAGATTCCATGCCATGTGCTCCACTATGTCTGGCTTAAATGTTTACAGGAGCCTCAACTACCAAATAGCAACATATGGAAGTTTTTGAATAGGGGCTTTAACTGTTTTGGAGCCCCCCAAAAATACTATCGAGGCCAATGCACATATGTGAGACCTTAACAGGGTTTGGGATTTGCACAGGAGATGCTTTTTTTCGAAATCAGCTGGAGCTACAAAACCTGCTCCAAAAGCTTTGCCTTAAGCAAACATGACGGCACCGATTAAAGCGATGGCCCTAAGGCAAGACATCAGTATACTCGAATAGGTAGAATAGGAGTAGTGTCCAAAGCACCGCCAACCCTATTAGAAAACTCTTAGCTCCTGTATGGCCCAAAGTGGACACACGCAAAAGGCTTTGGGGCCCAAGACTTTTGGTGTCCCTATTCGAAAACTCTCTACTGTCTGACGATGTTAACAAAAAGTTTTGAGGGACCCATTAAAAGCTGTGCTATTGTTGATATACTTATTCCAATTGTATTCATGAACTTAAGCATGGCATGTAAAGTAGGAAATACACAAATGCATTATAGCTTTTATTAATTGCGAAATGTGCATTTTGATTTTCATCTGTAATAGCTCAAAAGAGAGAAAGAGAAAAGCAACAAAAAGTTGGGAAAGTCAATAGAGCTGCACCTATATGTAATTCGGTATGTATCCTTCATCGGCAGATAGATAGGCAGGCAGAAAGAGAAAATCAAAGGGCAGAAGGGAAGAGAAAACAGATGCACATGCATGACAGCTTTCATCAATCATAGATGGTTACAAAGCTCAGTTAAGTGTCTCCAAAAATTGATGAAGTTCTCCTTGCCTTTAGAAAAGTAAAAATGAGAAACAAAACAACAAATATTTGTTAATTTACTGTACTTTTGTAAAGCACGCTTTGTTATGTTGTATAGTCAGGAATCGCACACTCCAAGTATAAACAAACAGTAATGCCTATGGATTCAGTAAAGTGCTGCAGCTAGAGTCGCTAATACTTAATGAGTTAAAATATTGAGGGGACATGGATGAAACATGTGCAAGTTTGTATCCTTGACTACAGTTGAGCACTTCAATATGCCAACAAAAGAATCTTCATGCCTAACCTGATTACTCATATTGTTGGCTATTCCTTATTACTTATAAGAAGGCATGTGAACTAGTCTTTACAAAATGAATTTCAGTCATTTGCAAGGCCATTATTGCATAGCAACTGTTTTTGTCAGACAATACATACCATCTAAATTCAAAAATACACATAATTGCATTCATTACAAGTGCAACATGTACAGTTCCTTCTGCAGCAAATCAATTGAAAACTGGAACTGCTCTTGGTAATTAGAGCTGGCTGCTACATGCACGGTTGTTGATAAGTCTGATCATATAATACCGCTGCTACATACATGTACTTAGTTAAATTAAAAGGAGCAGCAATACTGAGTTGATTATTCCAGACATGTTGCAATTTATGTGTATTGCCTCAAATGCTAGTTTGTGTCTAATATAAGTGGTGGTCTTACACACCAATTATTGGGCTACAAAAATGCAACAAGGCATCTCCTGCAGATACTAGCCCACAAGTCTTTTGCTCCATACCTGAAATCATGGTGACTCAGGGCTGTCTTCATGGTCTTCACTTGCTGGAAGTGAGAGGTCATGTCTGTTGCTAGGACCATTTCAATAACCAATAGACGGAATTCTCTGAAAACGATGATAAGCACAGCATTCTGTTATTAGTAATATTGTCATGCACTGAGTAATGGGTAGGTTACTGATGACAGCAGTGCTGATGACACACACACACACACACACACACACACACACACACACACACACACACACACACGCACACGCACACGCACACGCACACGCACACACACACACACACGCGCGCGCGCGTGCGTGAGCACCGACATGGCTGCTGGTGGCGCTGACTGACACTCCCACGTTTGATTCACATATACAGTAGACTCTCAGTAAACGAAACCTGAAGGGACAGGGAAAATGTGTTCCATTTAACAGGAGTGCCGTTTACTGAGAGATGAACATAGGGACAGACTACAAGCCCGAAACAAAGCATTGCAGATGCAATAGTTCCTTCCGTTTAAGCAGTAGTTTCGTTTACCAGATTTGCATTTACTGAGAGTCTGCTGTACACCAATGAAGTGAATGGTGGGGATGGCCGTTATGGTAGCTCTGTTAGTAGAGTATCGAACGTGTTATTCAAAAGTCGCAGATTCGGTTTCTGCCCATGGCAGGTTATCTTTTCATCCACTTTTCTTTTCTTTCTTCACATTTACATTATAATTAGGTCTAATAACTTCCACTATACTTTTCTTACATTATTGTATTTTAGATATCATTAATATTGCCACCATTGATGAACGAGCCACTGTGGCTCATACGCGTTTTTGGGGACGAAGAAGAAGAGAACATCTTCGTTGCTCTGGTTCAAGTGATTTCCTGGCTGCAGGTCTTGTTTTGTTCGTGACATTACTGGTGGAGGTGCTGGGTACGTGTACTTCGGCTGTGTCGGCCATCGTGGAGACAGCTACATCTCCCAGAGCAAGAATCAGCCGCCGCCTGCGTGGATTACCCCCTGAATTTGGTCCCTTGGCATCGACACCCAGAAAGATGGCAACTGCGATGACAAGCCAGGCGGTCCAAACCAGCGATGGCCATGATTCTCTTCTCGCCCATGTTTTTCACGTGCCACAGACACCAAAGCCGTTCCATGGAGACATCTTCGAGGACGTTGATGACTGGCTAGACCACTTTGATCGGGTTGCCAGTATCAACGAATGGGACGATGTTCGCAAGCTGCGCCGAGTTTATTTCTACTTGGAGGATTCTGCGAAGACGTGGTACGAGAACCACGAGGGCTCCTTTGCAACATGGCAAGAGTTTAGCCGACAGCTCCGTGACGCCTATCGCAACACCGAAAGGAAGGAGAGGGCCGAGCAAGCCATATCCAGCAGAAACCAACGGCCGAACGAACGTGTATCCATGTTTGTCGAGGACATGCTTCGACTCTTCAAGCGCGCGGACCCTGCCATGCCTGAGGAAAAGAAGGTGCGCCATTTGATGCGCGGAGTAAAAGAACAGCTTTTCGCTGGGCTCGTGCGAAATCCACCGACGACAGTCGCCCAGTTCATCAGTGAGGCAGCTACGATGGAACGTACGCTGCAGCAGCGGTCGTCTCAATACGAACGCCAGATCCCGGCCGCCACATGCGCTATCGGCTCTGACAGCGAGAGACAGACCCTCGCAGACTTCATTCGAAGTATCGTTCGGGACGAATTGCGACAGCTGCAGGCAGTGGGATCCCATCCACCTGTGTCAGCCCTCGCGGATGTAATCAGACAAGAAGTCCGGCAGGCCGTCACACCCCTAGCCCCAATCGCACCGCCGATTCCCGAGGCCCCAGTCCTGACATACGCAGCGGCATTGCGATCCCCTGCGCCACCGGCTACAGATACTGCTATGCGGCCAAGGTACCAGGCTATGCAGCCATTTCACGACACTGCTTCAAGCCCACCTCTCGGCTCAAGGTTTTCGAGCCCACCCACCTATTCGCCGTCTATCTCAAGACAAAGTGGTAGCAAGGCAAGCATGTGGCGCACCTCGGATAACCGTCCGCTCTGCTATCACTGTGGCGAAGCGGGTCACGTATACCGGAACTGTCAATACCGGCAACTAGGTCTCCGCGGCTTCCACCCTGATGCTCGATGCCCGCGCTACGGTGAGTGCCCCCGCGAAATTGAAGCCTATCTCACGGGCCAACGTACTCCTTCGACTATTCGGCACCACCAGTCGAGATCACCATCGCCTCGCCGGTCTACGTCACCCAGTTTGCCCTCATCGTCTTCCGCTCCTTTCAGGAACCGGTCACCAAGTCCCCGCAGGGGAAACTAGGAACGGCGACTTCTGGGGGTGAAGTCGCGGCCCGGCGAACTGTAAAAGACCCTCCTTCGACGCAACGACTAGACGAGGGCGATTCCGGTTTTGCAGTGTTCTCCGACAGCAAAAAGATTGTTTCTGCCGAAATTGCCGTCTTCGTCGACAATCATGCTGTTAACGCCCTCGTCGACACCGGTGCCGACTATTCCGTAATGAGCGCAACACTGGCATCTGAACTGAGGAAGGTTACCACGCCTTGGGAAGGACCTCAGTTGCGCACGGCAGGTGGCCATCTGGTGACGCCTACTGGTATGTGCACGGCACGCATTCGAATACGTACGTCAACATTTGCGGGCTCTTTCCTCGTATTGCGCGTGTGCTCCCGGCCAGTCATTCTAGGAATGGACTTCCTTCGTGAATACGGCGCCGTTATCGACCTCCGTGAATTACTTGTGTCGTTCGAGGATCCTTTTTGCGCTGCAACTGACACTACTCAATTCCGGAAAACAGCGCTCCGTGTTACCGACGATTCTCTGACTCTCCCACCTCGAAGCAGCCTCTTTGTCAAAGTAGAATTGGGACAGGACCTGTCTGACGCGGTAATTGCAGAGGCCAATTTGTCTCTCCTTATTTCACAACAAATCTGTGTTGCCCGAGGAATCATTCAGCCTAGCAATAGGCATGCTCACCTGCTGGTCACAAACTTCAGCGACGAATATCGCCACCTAACGAGACACACTGCCATTGCATATTGTGAAGAACTTGCCGATGCCGATGGTCCATCTACGTTAGCTTCAATTTCATCGAATGGGCACCCTGACGAGGCCTTCGTGAGCACTCTCGACGTAAACGAGAGACTACCTTCGGCTCAACGAGAAAGCCTTTTGCGTATACTGGGCTCATTTCAAGACTGCTTTGCCACTACGTCAAAGGTTAAACAGACACCACTTGCTCAACATCGTATCATCACGGAACCTACTGAGAGACCCATCCGACAACATGCCTATAGGGTGTCGCAAAAAGAGCAAGATGCTATACGTGACCAAGTCCAGCAGATGCTTCAGGACGACGTCATTCAGCCATCGACCAGTCCATGGGCTTCGCCAGTTGTGCTAGTAAAGAAGAAGGATGGTACGTTGCGTTTTTGCGTTGATTACCGTAAACTGAACAAGGTCACCAAAAAGGACGTTTATCCTCTACCCCGGATAGATGACTCGTTGGACCGTATACGCAACGCTAAATATTTTTCCTCCATGGATTTGCGTAGCGGCTACTGGCAAATCGCAGTGGACGAGCGCGACCACGAAAAGACGGCGTTTATTACTCCCGACGGTCTGTACGAGTTTAAAGTGTTGCCTTTCGGTCTATGCTCAGCGCCAGCTACTTTTCAAAGAATGATGGATACGGTTCTCACGGGGCTCAAATGGCAATCATGTCTTGTTTACCTAGATGACGTCGTGGTCTTTGCAGACACGTTTGAACAACACGTCCAACGCCTTCGTGCAGTTCTTCAGGCAATTCGAACAGCGGGGTTGTCTCTCAAACCCGACAAATGTCATTTTGGATATGAAGAACTGAAGTTCCTTGGTCACGTTGTGAGCCATGCTGGCATCCGCCCAGATCCCGAGAAAACCCGCGCCGTTGCCACCTTTCCCGTGCCCACAAATAAGCGCGACCTACGCCGATTTCTGGGGCTCTGTGCGTATTACAGGCGCTTTGTCAAAAACTTCTCGAAGATTGCTGAACCCCTCAACAAGCTTACAAAAGACGGTGTCTCGTTTGTTTGGGGTCCCGATCAGTGCCATGCGTTCGACACCCTCCGAAACCTCCTCCAGGCTCCGCCTGTACTTGGTCATTTTGACGAAAGCGCTGACACGGAATTACACACTGACGCCAGCAACGTTGGACTAGGAGCGGTATTAGTTCAGTGGCAAAATGGCGTCGAGCGCGTCATCGCTTATGCGAGCAGAACGTTATCCCCAGCGGAGAAAAACTATTCTGCAACCGAAAAGGAATGCCTCGCTGTTGTCTGGGCCATAACCAAGTTCCGCCCATACTTGTATGGCCGCCCATTCAGGGTAGTTAGCGACCACCATTCCCTTTGTTGGCTCGCGAATCTCAAAGATCCCTCAGGTCGTCTAGCACGATGGAGCCTTCGGCTACAAGATTTCGATGTCACCATCGTCCACAAATCTGGGCGGAAACACACCGACGCCGACTGTCTCTCACGTGCACCGGTCGAAAATGCCAACACTGACCTTGAAGACGACGACACTTTTCTTTCTGCCGTATCAGCGACCAGCTTAGCTGAGCAACAGCGTCACGACTCGGAGCTCATCCCGCTCATTGACTACCTGGAAGGACGCAATTCTCACCTTCCTCGAAGCTTTGCGCGCTCACTATCTTCCTTTTGTTTCCGTGATAGAGTGCTTTATAAAAAGAACTTTCATTCTACACAAGTTATGTATCTGCTTGTTGTGCCAACTACGCTTCGTGGTGACATTTTACGTGCATGTCACGATGAGCCATCATCCGGACACCTCGGCTATACGCGCACGCTGCAACGGATTCAACGCTCCTACTACTGGCCACGTCTCGCGAAGACTGTGAAGCACTAGGTTCGCACATGTCGCGACTGTCAGCGACGTAAGATTCCACCTTTACGACCAGCGGGACTACTGCACCCAATTGGCCCACCAAAGGCGCCCTTTCATCAGATTGGCATGGACTTGCTGGGGTCATTCCCCACGTCTTCGTCTAGAAACCGGTGGATTGTCGTCGCTACAGACTACTTAACACGC